ATTTCATCTTGAACTTACTTTCTCTAGTCTCCTGAGACAAGTCGAAACTCCCTTGTGTAAGCAGTCAATGCTTTCACATTGCCTGTGAACTCTGGTGAGGCCACCAGAATGCCTCATGCTAGCTATATTGTGTGTGTGCCCGCGTGTGTGCGCACACACAACACACATCTCTTTCCTCTTCAGTAGTAGACTCTGGGCAGGGGCCAGGCCTTACAAAGTCTCTAGGGGATTACATGCTTTATGTTTTTAACTCCTTTGTCCTTGAGAGGCAGTAAATAGGTAAGGTTTTCCCAAAGTCTTCACGTTACACTCTAGAAAAAAGGCCTTGTGCTTGAAAAGAGGCCTGATCTATACTCCTTATGTCCTGGCACTAATGAACCCAATGAAAGGAAAGAACTTGGTCTGTAAACTTCTGTGTCCTGGCAAATAAGAGAGACAGGTCAATTTTTACTCCCCAGTGATGCTCTATAAGAAAACTTAAGAGAGGGTTCTTACAAAGCAGGAACAGATGATAATGTGAATCACTGAGGACCAAAGAACCGTGGAATCCAAGACAGCCTCCAGAGATTTTTTTCTTCCTGGTTTTCATGTCTGCTGTGGAGTTTCAACCCACACTAAATAAGTCTGACCTGTGTAATTGAGGTTATTGCTTAAATGATGGGAGTGTTAGATGGTGAGCTGGCTGGCATTCCTTAACTAAGTCAGAAAGTCTTGGACCACCTTGATAAAAAGAGGATGGAGGATAAGTTCCAACCAGTTAGAACAAAGATAGTGGAGGAATCAAATGCCTCTTGACCTTGCAGCTTCATTATACTCTTATTACCATGAAATTTTTCTAAGGAAACCTCCTACTCCTATCATGTACCTAATGCCATTACAGTTCCAGATTGACTGAATTTAGTTAGGAGGAGGGTGTTGGCTGAGCGTGGTGGCTCACACCTGTAATCTTAACACTCTGGAAGGCTGAGGAAGGTGGATCACCTGAGCACAGTTCTGAAACGAGCCTGAGCAAGAGCAAGACCCCATCTCTACTAAAAATAATAATAAAAAATTAGTGGGGAGTTGTGGTTGGCGCCTAGAGTCCCAGCTACTAGGGAAGCTGAGGCAAGAGGATGGCTTAAGCCTGAGAGTTTGGGGTTGCTTTGACACCACGACACTGTACCCAGGGTGACAGAGACTATCTCAAATTAAAAAAAAAAAGTGTCGGCTTGGCGCTTGTGGCTCAATCGGCTAAGGCGCCAGCCACATACACCCAAGGTGGCGGGTTCGAATCCCCAGCCCGGGCCTGCCAAACAACAATGATGGCTGCAACCAAAAAATGGCCGGGCCTTGTGGCGGGCGCCTGTAGTCCCAGCTACTTGGGAGGCAGAGGCAGGAGACTCGCTTGAGCCCAGGAGTAAGAGGTTGCTGTGTGCTGTGAGGCCATGGCACTCTACCCAGGGAGATAGCTTGAGGCTCCGTCTCAAAAAAAAAAAAAAAATTCTAGGAAAATTTTTTAAATTTATTTAATTTAAATTTTTTATTTAAAAATTTATTTTTTATTAAATTTATTTAATTCTAGGAAAATACTGCCCCTTTCCAAGAAATAACATGAATATTCCTCTCCTGTTTAGCTGTTAATTAAGCTGTTGTTTAAAGGGACTGAAGGAACTATGAGGGCTATTCTACTCCACAATGAGAACCAGCTCCTACTTTGCCTGTGGAAATTTTCTGTATTTCTTAATAAAACTCACTTCCACTTTACACTGTCCGCTCACTCACTGAATTCTTTCTTGTACAATGCCAAGGACCCACTTGCACTTCAAGTGATTGAAGTGGGAATTACTTTCCTATGACAGTATGACTTCTCAAACTAGGTCGTAACACACATTTGACTTGTTTTCTCATTGATCACTAGCTATGGGGGAATCCAGCTGCCATGTTGTAAGGACATTCAAGCAGCCCTATGGAGGCCCACATTGTGAGCTCAGACCTCTCGCCAGTAGCCAGAACCAACCTGCCATCTGTGTGAATAAGTCACATTGGCAGTGGATCCTCCAGCCCATTATATTTAACAATGACTGCAACTTCTTGAAAGATACTGAGCCAGAACCACCAAGCTAAGTTACTTTGAATCCCTGACTCTGAGGGAAACTGAGATAATACGCATTTTTTTTTGGAGACAGAGTTTCACTTATTTGCCCTCTGTAGAGAGCTATGACGTCACAGCTCACAGTAACCTCCAGCTCTTGGGCTTAGGTGATTCTCTTGCTTCAGCCTCCCGAGTGGCTGGGACTACAGGTACCTGCCACAATGCCTGGCTATTTTTTTTTTTTTTTGTAGAGACAGAGTTTTACTTTACTACCCTCGGTAGAGTGCTGTGGCATCACACAGCACTTAGGCGATTCTCTTGCCTCAGCCTCCAGAGTAGCTGGGACTATAGGCGCCTGCCACAATGCCTGGCTATTTTTGTTGTTGTTGTTGTTGCAGTTTGGCTGGGGCTGGGTTCGAACCTACCACCCTTGGTACATGGGGCCAGTGCCCTACTCACTGAGCCACAGGTGCTGCCCCAACACCTGGCTATTTTTTTGTTGTAGTTTGGGCAGGGCTCAAACCCACCACCCTCAGTATATGGGGCTGGCGCTCTACTCACTGAACCACAGGCGCTGCCCTCAGTATCTTTTTTTTTTTTAAATAAAATAACACAGAAAAGGGCATAAATCATAAGTGAATGACTTATTTTTTTTTTTTTTTTGAGAGTCTCTCACTTTGTTGCCCTTGGTAGAGTGCCATAGCATCATAGCTTACAGCAACCTCAAAGTCTTGGGCTCTGGAGTAGCTGGGACTACAGACACCCACCTCAATGCTCGGCTATTTTTAGAGACAGGGGTCTCGGTCTTGCACAGGCTGGTCTCCAATGTGTGAGCTCAGGCAATCTGCCTACCTCGGCCTCCCAAAGTGCTGGGATTACAAGAATGAGCCACTGCACCTGGCCTTGAATAGCTTGATAAATATCACAAAGTAAACACATCCACGAAACCACTACCCTGATATTGAAGAAAAAGCATTACTACCAACCTCCTAGAAGCCTATCTGGTCTTTTTTCAGCATTCTCTCTTCCCCTTTCTGAAAAGTAACCATCATCCTCCCTTCTGACATTCTCTATTAATAAACAGAATTATACACCATGTATTTTGTGTCTGGTTTCTTTTGCTCAGTTTATTCGCATTTTTGATTTAGGGTTATGAACATTCTGCCTTCTTGCCATTAGTATGTACTTCATCTGTTATTATAAACTTTAACGATAGCTACACATGGTCAGCAAATTCAAAAATCCCCTAGAGAGTCAAGACTCCTATGTTTTCTTTCACATGTGTATTTAAGAGAAGACAAAGGCCTTCCCAGTATTGGAATTGCACTAAATCTGTGCCTTCTTTTGGTTATTATAAGGGGGAGAGTAGCTGAACTTCTTAGGCGTTCAGGCTATGTCATTTTTTTAAGCTGTGTGCTTGTGGATAAGTTGCCTCATGACCCAAATGTTGCTTTGGGGATCAAGTGAGGTGTAAAAGCATGGGGTAAACTATAAAAACACTACGTGTTTTTAGGTGTTTTGATGTTGGAGTTCATCTTGGCACCCAAGGGATGATGAGGATTCTTTAGGATGATCTATCAGAGCTGGCAGACATGAATGGAAGTTTCCTCTGGTCAAGGAGGACCACACTTCTTTGAAGGCAGAACAGTAGGCAATGTCAGACAATCAGATTGAGAAGAGTAGCTATTAAAATTCTTGATTCTTGTAGGATCCATTTGAGGTGGCTTCCAGAAGCTGTAATTTTCAGGGTTTGGAAATAGGGTTTCCAGAGTTACTCCTACAGCGAGGAAAACTAGTTAGGAGTGAACAGAGAAATTCTATTCAACAGGCACAAAGAGAAAAGAGAAGCTCAATCTTCTTGTTTAGTCCACTACAACCACTCATTACCGGAGAGGTGAAGAAAATAAGTGTCATTGGCCAAGGAAGTTACGGTCTCCGAGGGGAGGCACTTAAGAAATAACTACCCCATAGTCCAGTTAAACTTGCCGGGGTGAAGGAAGTGCTTTGGGGGTGCTGCGCAGAGAGGGATCATTCCAGGATTGAGCCACCTTTGGTAGGAGCGATGGTTTGGACCCGCCTTTGGTAGGTGTGAGAAGTTAGGTTTCAAAGAGAGGGGTAATCATTTTCCCTCCCCAAATGAGATGGAAACATGATTCTAAAAAAATCCATCTTCCCAGGCGGCCCCAAATCCGTCTATATCCCTCAATGCACCATACAGAAAGGGACTCCAGACTCCTTGAAAAGGCCAAACCTACATCCCGGCTCCCACACCCGCTTCTTCACCACAGGAGGGTGGCGAAGGATTTATAACCCACCTCTTTCTTCCAGTTGCCATGGAGACCAACCCCAGCCTTTTATTCCTTCTGGTACCAAGAGCTTCTCTCCAACGCAGACGGAATGGAGCCTTAGCCCAAACGTGCTGGGGGAGGGGATGGCGGCCTCGACGGCAGCTGCGGAACCAGGCAGAGGACAAAGGCTAAGGTCAGCCGCAGTTCAAGCCCTTCTGTCTGCCAATGACTGGCGGCCAGACGCTGCGGGAGTACTGCCGGGCAGGAGAGGACGCGAGCCGGCAGTGGACGGCACAGAGAAACGCACGGGAACTCGGGAGCACATGGAGGCGTCCCGGGAGAGTTCCTGGGCCCAGGGATGCAAACTGGTCCACTCGTGGAGGCTGCTGGGGAAGGCAGAGGTGGTTGCGGGACCCTACACCCACGCGTCCATTGGGCGGCGCCGCCATCACACTCCTAGGCTATACCTCCTTCTCCTCCTCCGCGGATCCCAGATCCCCTCCTCCGCCAACCTCCACCCCACCCCGTCCTGGGAGCCTTTCATTGGACGAAGACACGTTCAATCCGCCTCGAATCAGGGAGCTGATTGGACTCTAGGCGTTCGGGCCGCCCTCCACCTGTTCGGATTGGCTTGCTGGGCGTTGGCGCAACGGAAGAGGCAGCCGGCGGAGGGTGCGCCTCTTCTCCGGCTGGACTGCCGCGGAGGAGGCGAGGAGGAGGCCGGCGCTGGGGAACTGGCTCGGGCGGCAGCGGTGGCTGCTGCGGATGGGAGCGGGCCGGCTCGGTGCGCCCATGGAGCGCCACGGCAGGGCCTCCGCCACCTCCTCCTCGTCAGCTGGGAACCCGGCGCCCGGGGGCCCCGAAGGGCGGCGGCGGGAGCCACTGCGGCGCCGAGCGAGCAGTGCGTCGGCGCCAGTGGTCGACGCCTCGGCAGAGGGTGTGAGGCGGGAACGACCTGGCTCCTACAGCGGCCCCACCTCGCTCTCCCGCCAGCGCGTCGAAAACCTCAGGAAAAAACGGCCGCGTAAGTTCCCCGCGGGGCGACCTCCTGGCCCGCCCTCCCCCCTCCCGGCCCGGCTGCCGTTTTTCCCGCGCGCAGAGGGTGCCCCCGCACGGTGGTCCCACGGTGGTGCGTGGCCTGGCACAGGGCTGGAGGCCTCGCGTTCCCATACGCGGCTCCTTTGGTGTTCGGCCCGCGCCCATAGGTCTGCGCTTCCCGTTTGTTGGACCGCTTCACCGTCTTCTTAGTTCCTTGGACATTCTTTCCCGAGTCACATGATTTTATCCTCGAGAAGGCTTCTTTTGACTCATTTCCAGCGCCTCGCCTCTGTTCCCCTCCCCCCAAATCCTTTGAATCCCCAATGGCTGTCTTCTGTGGGTTTCTAAAGAGCTCCTCTACAGGATGTGGAGTCCTTAAAAATCTGGCTATTTCGGGCTTACTGGATAATGGTTAACCGCCCCCTGAGTTGTTGGTCCAGACCTAAAACTGGATTCTATGTTCTGTATACCTCTAAGCTTTGGCTGCTTTTCTTCCGGTGAGAATTCAGGTCATCTCTCACCCAGATACCCCCCATTTCTTTCTATTTGCAGGTACTCACGATTCAGAACTGTAGCATTCTGGGCATTAAGGCGCTTTCTTTTGAGGGAAAATGACATTTTTCTGAATTTCACCTTGGGAGTTGCACACGCTCCCCCCAGAAAATGGGTTTCTCCATTTTATTATCAGTTTTTTTTCCTCCATCCTGTATTTTCTTCCTTTTACAGGTCTTAATTCTGGACCGCTGTCTGGCAGCCATGCTGAGAGACAATATCAGTTGTCCTGATACGTTTAATATGCGCTTTATGGAAACATTTTACATATAGTTAGACTTCTTTGGTTGTTGCCAGATTCCTGTTCAGGAAATTGACTTATTTAAATTCAGATTGGGAGAGTGAGGGAAAATGGCAGAAAGTATGAAGTCTTTATTGGATGGTCTTGTACCTTAGCCTAACCACCCAGTTGCTTTTCCTTCATCGTTTTGTTTTGCTGTGAAAAGTTTGGGAGTTTTCAATTCTTCTGACTTGTCCCCATGTTATTGCAAGAGATTTGTAAAATGTGCCCAACCTGTACCATTTTCAGAGTCAGTTATCTGGTTTTATTTGAAAAGCACCTGATTTTTAAGCATTGCAAAACATTAGTTTCTTTATGGTTTTTGTACTACATCATCAGAGATGGATATAAATTCAAGAGATTCAGCAAAAAAGAATCAACAGCTATTAGCTACAGGATTTTTTTTTTTTTTGAGACGAGTCTCACTATGTGGCCCTCAGTAGAGTACTGTGGCATCACAGCTCACAGCAATGTCAAACTCTTGGGCTTAAGTGATTCTCTTGCCTCAGCTTCCCAACCAAGTAGCTGGGACTACAGGCGCCCACCACAACGCCTTTTTTTGTTGCAGTTGTCATGTTGTTTAGCAGGCCTGGGCTGGGTTTGAACCTGTCCCAGCCTTGGTGTATGTGGCTGGTGCCATAACCACTGAGCTTCCAGAACCGAGCCTGAAACTTCTTTTAAGGAACATAGTAGACAGTGTTGTAGGATTTATTTTTTGTTTTGGTGATGGATATTTTTCAGGATCATTTGCATTGCTCTCTCTGACTGAATAAATCATGAAAAGTCATCCCTCAGGTATTAAGACCTGCTAAAGAAATAAGATGCTGATTGTTCTTCCTTCCATTTGCTCTTTCTCTACTTATCCAGGGTGCACCTGTTAGAGAAGCAGCTTGTTGATTGCTGAACTCTCCAAGAATATACGTTAGTCTTAACGCTGAGAAAATTCATTGAAGACTAAATTTGTTTGTACTTACCATCAGGAGGGTTAGGTATGGAAAATGGTGCCATCTTTCTTTCGAGGTTACAGAACTTTGTTCTGGCTGGGCGAGGTGGCTCACACCTGTAATCCACTCTGGGAGGCTGAGGTGGGTGGATTGCCTGAGCTCACTGGTTGGAGATCAGCCTGAGAAAGAGCAAGACGCATCCCTAAAAATAGCCAGATGTTGTGGCGGGCACCTGTAGTCCCAGTTACTTGGGAGGCTGAGGCAAAAGAATTGCTTGAGCCCAAGAGTTTAAGGTTTCTGTTGAGCTATGATGCACTCTGCCAAAAAAAGAAAACCTTGTTCCGATATTGTTATATTAGTCTAAAGGTAGAGACTAACCAGTTGTCATTTAGAATTTGAAGGAGCTATTTGGGTTATCTTAGGAGTTTTTGTGGTCCTGTTTATGGTCATGTTGTGCCACACATGTTCTCTAGAGCAGTGTGATTTCCAAACCTGACCCTATCCCAGTCTTACTGCATTAGAATCACTAGGCAGAAGGCTAGACTTGTGTATATGTAAGAAGTTTTTGGGCCAGGTGTGTGACTCACACCTGTAACCCTAGCACTCTGGGAGTCTGAGGCAGCTGGATTACATGAGGTTAGTAATTTGAGCCCAGCCTGAGTTAGAGGGAGACCCCATCTCTAAAAATAGCTATGCACCTGTAGTCCCATTTGCTTGGAGTCTGAGGTAAGAGGATCACTTGAGCCTGGGAGTTTGAGGTTGCAGCGAGCTGTGACGTCAAGGCACTCTACTGAGGGTGACATAGTGAAACTCTTGTCTAAAAAAAAAAAAGTTCTTCAAAAGTTTTGGATCAGGTGATGGTATGTCTCACAGTGTTGAGAGAGATACCAACTACTAAAGATTGGTGTAAAATGATGGAAACAAAGATGCTAATGATGGCAATACAGCTACCACTTTCTGATCGCTTACATGTTTGTGTTAGCATGCTACATGTTTTATGAACATGTAAGTCTGAATAGCTGGGTGTTGTGGTGGGTGCCTGTAGTCCCAGCTGCTTGGAAGGCTGAGGCAAGAGAATCGCTTAAGCCCAAGAGTTTGACATTGCTGTAAGCTGTGACGCCAGGGCACACCTAGGGCAACATCGTGAGACTCTGTCTTAGAAAAAAAAAAATAACATGTACATCACCATTACCCTGTGATGTAGATATTTTTTATTTTTGTAGAGATAGAGTCTCACTCTGTCGCCCCTGTAGAGTGCTGTGGCGTCACACAGCTCACAGCAACCTCCAGCTTTTGGGCCCAGGTGATTCTCCTGCCTCATCCTCCTGAGCAGCTGGGACCACAGGTGCCTGCCACAATGCCCGGCTATATTTTGTTGCAGTTTGGCCGGGGCTGGGTTCGAACCCGCCACTCCCGGGACATGTGGCCCACGCCCTACTCACTGAGCCACAGGCGCCACCCAGTGTAGGTATTTTTTAATCCCTAATTTCCAGATGATGAAATGAGCTCAGCGAAATTGTCCCTTTCTTTATCCAAGGCCATATGTGAGATAGTAGTGGGATTGGGTTTTCATTCTTAGTGTCTGACTTCAGACCAGTGTTCCTGGTCCACATTTTGGGGTAGGGGAAGGTAGTATGGATATAATCCAGAGCTGTGATTCTCAGAAGTGTTTAACTCTTCCTCACTCAACCCAGTCCATCATTTCACACTACAGGTTTGCAAAGGAGTCTAAAGTTAGTTTTAACTTTTTTTTGAAACATAATCATATACAGTGTAATGCATAATTTTGGCAAACACATACACTCATGTAATGAGAACATTTTTATCAAGAGCTCCAGATGGGCAGCAAATGTAGGAACCCTGGGATCAGTGCTCCACAGGAGTTTGGAGGACAAGTTGGAGTTGGTTCTTTGAAGATGTGTGTTGTAGCACTCCAGGGAGATCTTTGGGATTTCTGCTTTTGGATTCGTGCTAATCATGGAATAGCCTTCTTTTTTTTTTTTTTTTGAGACAGAACCTCCCCCTGGGTAGAGTGCCGTGGCATCACAGCTCACAGCAACCTCCAACTCCTGGGCTCAAGCGAGTCTCCTGCCTCTGCCTCCCAAGTAGCTGGGACCACAGGTGCCCGCCACAACGCCCGGCTATTTTTTGGTTGCAGCCGTCATTGTTGTTTTGGGGGGTCCGGGCTGGGGATTTGAACCCGCCTCCTCAGGTGTACGTGGCTGGCGCCTTAACCCGTTGAGCTATAGGCACCGAGCCTGGAATAGCCTTCATTAAGTCTAGATAATAAAGCTTTTTGTTTGTAGCTTGACAGTGCTAACCTAGGAAATGCATGGCTTTTTCTTGGCTTTGTGGGGGAGTGTCAGTGATGGCTGCTGGAACCCTGTTGGACTACTACCCTGTGTCAGGCTCAATGTTTCACTTTCAGTTAGGGTAGTAAGAAGGGCTCAGGAAAAAATTAGTTTACTGTGGATTTGCAGCCCACTTTTGAGTGACAGTATGGGAGAGGATGTTTAACCCCTTACTGTATCAATTTTAAAAATAAATGAAATCAAATATGGCCCCTCATTTTGGATGTGTAATAAATATTAAGCATTAAGCACTGTCTAAAATTAGTCCACTTAAGTAACTGTGTAAAATAGCACAGTATATTAGTAGCCATTTGTATGAATCATGCTTGCTTTCTTTTTTTTTTTGAGACAGTCTCAAGCTGTCGCTCTGGGCAGAGTGCTGTAGCATCACAGCTCACAGCAACCTGAAACTCTTGGGTTTAAGCGATTCTCTTGCCTCACCCTCCCAAGTAGCTGGGACTATAGGCATGGGTCACCATGCCCGGCTAGTTTTTTTATTTTTAGTAGAGACAGAGTCTCAGTTTTGCTCAAGATGATCTGGAACTCCGGAGCTCAAGCAATTCACTTGCCTCCACCTCCTGGAGTGCTAGTATTATAGGCATGGGCCACAGTGCCTGGCCTAAAGTTTGCTCTCTAAATTAGGTGAAAGACATCTGTCAGTTTTTAAGTAGTCTGTTACATTTTGTGTTATTTATAGTTCCTGAATAGGAAATTTATTTTGAGTCTGATTTTACAATATATAGTGTTAGTATCTGGTCCCTGAGTTTAAACCTAGGGTCCCCAACTCCCTGGGCAGGCTGATACTTGGCTGTGTAGCAGGAGATGAGTGGTGGGTGGGTGAGCTTCATCTGTATTTACA